ATTGACGTATGACTGATGATCGTTTGGATGAAATCGCTGAAAACGGGAAAAATCGTGATCTGTAAATCACTGGTCCCGAGAGAACGAATAAAGTGAAAAAAAAACAGTTCTACAGTCAAAAATTTGAAAAAAAAAAATCTCTGCCAAGAAAAAATGGAAAAAATAACGCCCCAAATACCAATATTTTCTATACTTTCCACCTGGATCAGCTGTAATTCTCGTTCCGTTATTCATCTACGCATTTGGCAATTTCTAAAATGGAGCACTGTACTGATGAATTCCACCCCCGTTTCGTAGCGATTCTGCCGTCTGTGTTTACAGCTGCAGCTACTCGGGTAACTGGAAACAGCCCTGGATCCCGGTGATGGAGAGGAGTGCTTTTAATCCCCAGGGGTCAGATATTACTAAGACTGCAAAACTTCAACAAGGCAGGGTGTCAAAAGTTTGAACCAGGGACCGGAGTATTGCATCATAGTGACGCAGTTGTACCTTAAGCCATTTCTAACAAAAAACCATAAATCATTATTTGACATATTATGTAACAGTTTTGGCCATTTCGAAATATTCTTTGTCTGCATTGAGTCTAATCATCTTCTTGAATTTTAGAATTTCTTGGCGGAGGAAAAAAAAAAAGCGAACTTCATGAAGATCCAGATCATGCTCTTTGTATTCGATATTTTCATTATCTAGCAGTTGTTTCGCCTTAATACAATACGGGCACCTGGCTTTCGTATACATCACTACCGGGAACCTTTTTACTTCCTTTCTGATATTCTCCTCATCCACTCTTGGAATTGTTGACTGCCAATGTCCCATTTTCTAAAAAAAGAAACCAAAGATCGAGATTTTCTTCGAAGAAGTCAGAAGCAGCACGCTTGTTCGTTTGGGTTTTTTAGGATGCGATCCCGCGTTCCCCAAAGAATCTATTTTCGCCAAAAGCCCAAATGATGCTTTTGCGTCTCGAAGATAGTGATGGTGAGGTCTTTGACCTAATTAGACCAAGTTCTGTGACTGACTCACAAATCATCATGGGCAATTTTTAGACTACGAAAGCTCGACGAGCTGTAATATTCAGCGCAGTGAATCAACCACAAATCGACAAAAAACCACAAGGCCACCGTGCCATCGCTTTATCACCTAATAATGCTCTAAAATGCGCAGCTAAATATCAAATTTATCATAAAAATATCGCAAAAAAAACTTATCACAAAAAGTAACCTATCGAAAGTATCACAAAAAGAATAGTAAACGCGACCGGACTATCAGTGCAGGTGTCCGTATGCAGCACCCAAACGTACGTGGGGAATGACATTAAAACGGAAGGGTCCGCAAATGGTATGGGCACATATCCCCGAAGTTTCAGCCTTCTAGCTTTTCTGGTTCTCGAGGTGAAAGCGGATATCTCATGTCAGTAATACTATTACAAATATTCCTACTCACCAGAAAAATTTATATTCCAATCACTTAAGCTTTCTGGCTATTGGAACTAACTGGAAATATGTCTCCAGGTCAATAATGATCATTTGTTCGACGTACGCACACTGCCTCCTCGTATATCGCCCAAATGGTGGTTATTTCCCTGTCAGCACCATCAATTTATGTGCGAAGTCTACCAGCAGATTAAGGCAATCCCAGCAAAACTGACCAGTTTAATTCAGAAGGATCTCACTTGGCGACTTTGTGCACGACTCTGTTTCACGCCTGAAAAGATTAGCTCTCTGCGCGTACTATAAAAAAAATAATTGAACACAACTGGATTTCAAACAGATCACACACTTCAGAAATTCACCCATTTTGCTTATTTCCCTGTCCAGAAAAAAAAAAAAAACGTATTATCATCAGTACTGTGAGATTTGCGAGGAATGACGGTCAAATATACATCTCTATAAACATGAATTCAAGAATAATGTGATTTTTTCAAACTTATTAATACTAAATTCGTCAAAACAACTTGTGGTCGGGATAGTCCCTAAAATTCTCCAAATTCACGTCCTGATCAAAATGTTTATTCACACCAGAAGAACATGAAAATTCGGAAAATAGTTAATACTAGTCACTCGGATTCAACACATCCACAACAGGAGTATCAAAAAGGCAATGGCACAAACGAATTATCGAAAATAGTCAAAATTTAACAAAAATATAACACAACATTGATAAGTTACCTCATTTTGGTGTAAGTATGAGAATACTGACAAAGTTCAACATATAACAAAAATATCCTGAAACGGCTAAAGCCTTGTCAAGTGTTTCTATGAGCAGAAAAGAATTCTGGCAATTCTTCAACAGACGAGACGAATGTCGGGAGTGCTAGCAGTCAGGTAATGTAGTATTCTTCAGAGTAATTGCAAAAGTAGCCAACTGCACAGCTAGAAAATCCACAGCCAGATCCAGGACGGATTCCTAGGAGAGGGGAGCGACGAGATGGAGAGAAGAGTCCCCTTCCCAGCCCGGGAAAAAAACTAGGAATAGAGTTGTAACACTGTTACTTAGAAATACTTTAGTTTATGGTAACTTTAGACTTTGGTTTACTTTAGTTTTAGCTTTTGACCCGGCCTTCTGCAGCACTAATGCCTGCATGGCTGGAGGAGAGGGGTCGTCCCCTCCCCTCCCCCACCCCCCGGGATTCTGCCTAAGAGACAATCACAATGTCCCAAGCAGTAAAGAAACACCGCATAAAATCCGATTCCTTTTCTCCACTGTAGAATCGATTCGATTGATACATTGCGTAATGTTATCATCCTTGAAAAATATGAACAGCACTTTGAGAAATTCCTAATTCATTTAACAACCTGAAAAGTTATAAGACTTTTTTGGTCTACGCATGACACAGTATCAATGTTTAGCAAAAACACTTCTAGTTTGAAGTTTGATGTGAGCGAACAACGCCAAACAAACTGTATATGTTAACGCAAAGAAGATTTCAGGCCTCCGTCCTCTTCCAGTCATCCCCAAGCCAGGGATACTCATTGTTTATATCTCTAAAATTCCTACGGTACATTTAATGCAACACTTAAAAACATCAAAAGTATTTTGAAAAGGTGCACCAGAAACATCAATACCGTTCGATAAGTTTAAAAAGTGATTCCATGTTAATACACTACTGGGCTTCCACATGCCTGATATACCTATTTCGGATTTTTCGATCCTAAGCTGCAGAATTTCTGTCGCCGTATCTATCGCTTGTCCGATCTATGTGCGGATTTCTTCGTACGTGACTGCCATTACGGTAGCTAAGCCAATTGTAATAGTCAGGTTGGCCTTGGAAGCCTAGATGGCGAAGGCGCAAAAGATTACGGCATGAAAGAATAGTATGAGAAAAGAAGGTAAGAGTGAGGTAAGACGTTTCGATCCATTAAGTCATATACGTCTTAAAACCGCGACAGGACCTTGTCGCAGTGCTTAATGGAAAAGAGAATGACGACAGGAAGAAACAGAAGAGGAAACGATATGATCGCTAATTCTTCCACACGTATCAGATACACGAATCCACCGAACGCCAAAAAAGCGAGCAGCCTGATTTCATCAAATTTTGATATCCTTACAATAACATCTTGTACGTCGTCAAAAGACTGAACTCAGCACTTATAAGGTCACAAAGATCCTTCACTTTAGCCAGCAATCACTCTTTTGCTTTCGTCTTAGACCAAGTGTTGTGGAAATTTTAAAGATACAAACATTGAAATATCCCTGGCTAGGAGACTGGAAGAGAGGACGGGGGCTTGAAATAGCATCTATGTGCTAACATGCGCAGTTTGTTTGGCGATGTTGGCCCACC